GTGCAACTTGCCCTTACACAAGGCGCTCCGTTACTGGTTACTGCACATTCCTTGGGAATTCACTAGTAACCTGGAAAAGCAAGAAGCAATCCACAGTCTCTCGATCATCTTCTGAAGTGGAGTACAGAGCTTTGGCTCAACTCTCGTGTGAAGTTCAGTGGCTAAAGTCACTCCTTGAATTTTACGGAATTAAGCATCCATCACCTGTCCAGGTTTACTGTGATAATCAATCTGCACTCCATATTGCAGAAAATCCAGTCTTTCACGAGCGAACAAAGCATATTGAGGTCGATTGCCATGTAACTCGTGAAAGACTGCGATATGGGTTACTCTCTCTGCATCACATTCATTCAGAAGAACAACTTGCGGATTTCTTCACAAAAGGGCTGTCTTATGATCGCTTTGAAACTCTTCTCTTTAAGCTGGGAGTTCATGACATGTACCTCCCAGCTTGAGGGGGCCTGTGAAGGAATGTGATGCAGCCAGCAGCCATTGATGAAGATCTTGAATGACAGAGTCGTCTCGAGCTTCCTTTCACTTGAGACGAAGAAGAAGAAAGGCTGCAGCAAACCGACGTCGTCTTCATCTAAGCAGTAAACCCTACAAGAAGAAGAACGACGTCGTCCAAGTGATCCAGATAATAAGAAGATAATAGCCACTTGGCATTCAGCGATAGGATAGAATAGTTATCGTTGCTTAACAGTGTTTTACTTTACCTTTCGTTTGTTCTGTAGTGGTAAGATACTTGTAGCTGATGTATATAAACCCTTCTCAGAAAATGGAATGAGGCAGACTGCTAATTTCCCCAACGCAGCAATCGTCACTTTGTTCCTCAAATACCCTAATTCTTTCCTAGGGTTTCAGGTTTTCTCAGTGGAGGAGAAGTTAGCGTCTCAAGGTTTGGGGATCGATTGGTTCTATTTTAATTTCGGTTGCATGAGTTTTGCAATTAGCTACTGTCAAGAGACCATTCTTTGTCTGAGGTGATGGGAACCAGGAATTCAATCTCCGAAGGTTGACAATCTCAGTTCAATTCAAGTTTGAGGTCTTCCAACTGAGATGCAATCGAAGGAGAAATTTTTTACCAACAAATCTAATGATATTTGAGACCACAAATGGATCATGACATAGTTACAATAACGTGTTTGTTATTTTTCTTTATATGGGTGAAAGAGTATGATAGAGGATATTTTGATCTAAGCACAGATTGAACATAATACATTAATACTTAAGATGAGTTAAACACGTTAAGCACTTTGACTACGATTTTTGTTACACAAGTATACATTTTTGTTACAACTCACCATATATGGATGTATTTGCTAAAACCTGAAATACACAATGAGTGGAAGTAATACAATTAACTCAAAATTAAATTAAGTGAATAATTAGCGCCATGAATGTGTCCACTAGAAAGAAAGCATTTAAACAAATATTGGGGCGGCTGTCTAGCTGTAGAAGGTATTTGATTTTGACATTTGATCCAGCTAAAACAATTTCCTTTTCATTATTATTTGTTCTTGTTCTGGTACTGCCAAAATAGTAAAATACACATGGACACTGGGCTAGTGGTTGAGAAATCTACACGCCGATCGATTGAGATCATAATAAGATCTTTAGTTGGTTGAAAAGTCGAAGACCGGCAATGAATTATTTAGTGTTGACAACGAAATAAAATTAAGAAGAAATAGAATATAATAAGAGGCATTGCTTCCAATAGCCAATAGGCAATAGGTACTAAATTATGCAAAACGTACATTTCATATGTGTAGTTTGCAATGTTATTTTAACTCAATGTGTTCCTCTTCAGGAGACTATAACAAGTTAATTTCAACTTATTTCCATTGACCCAATTCTTTGATCAAAGGAAATATCGTTCTCATAAAGAAATGTATGTGTTAAGAACATATAGTATCCTCTTTTACCGGCTTGAGGCTAATAACGCTGTAGTCAAGAATTGGTCGAGAGTTGTACCCCGACTTGTTAATCGAACAATGAAATTTCGTGACTTTCAGTACACGGCAATCCGATTTTATTGATATCAACCGCCTTTGTAAATAATATAGGGTTTTTTTTAGGAAATCATTGTTATTTAGGAGAGCACAGTTTTCATGTACCCTTTTAGCTTGCATTGGGTTCCCACTCATTATAAAAGAAGAACCAATAAAAAGGTGGTACAATTTGTGTTATAAACCAGTTGCTCCTAATAACTCGAGTTGTTGGGAGAAGATTATGTTGGATCTTATACAGGCCTATGTATGGTACTTAATCACTTCCTTACACGCCCCCTCAAACGAAAGCCGACTCGTGGACTTGAAGTTTTCACAGGTCTGTCATACCACGTGCTTGTAGACAACGGTTAATATTGGGTATCGTGAGGACTTGAACACGTGACCTCAAGGCCAAACCAGGTTGTGATACCATGTCACAAACCACTTGATACCAATAACTCGAGTTGTTGAGAAAAAGTTATAAGGGATCTTATGCCAGCCCATGTATATTACTTAACCATTTCCATACAACTTGTATTTGTATTGACCATCGTTAATCCGGACAATCCAACAAACATGGAACCCACAAACCCACGCTAATTCAACCACATGTGATCACAAAAGAGCTCACGTACCATATAATATTTAATCTTGTGGCGGGTGGCTTCCACAAAAAAATGGACATGCTAGCTAGAGGTTAACAAAGTCAATAACAAAGTTTTATAACAAAATTGCATTGTGCATTAACCCATATTCCACGTACCCACAACAACTAGTTATAATTTAATAGGTTGATGTCACTAATTAGTTAATAGTTATATAGGATTTATTAGCTACTCTTTCCTCATAAACTCAAGGTCCCTCTTTTTAAAAAAAGAGTAGACTTTTAAGGACAGTCTTTCCTAGCTACAAATAAAATATTATGTGGCCCTCACTTATAGGACAACGTGGGTACACGGGGGGAATTGAAAGGCCCTTATTTGTTGGCATTATTGCCATAGTGACGATCGTCGAAGGGACATATGAGAAAGGAATGGCCATATTTGTCCCGATGCTAGCTAGTTCTCATTTCTCAAAGGTACTTAATTACTTGTTCAATTAATTTTTGTAGGGTTCTATTGGGACCAGATTTGTGGGACTTGCTAATTCATTGCTATAGGTTAAGGACAAGGGGTATTAATTAACAGCGATTGACCCTTCACTTCTAGCTACCAAAGGTCCACCCCCCAACCTCTCTTAACTCTCTCTCCCTTTTCTTTCCATATATACGCGTTTCTTGGTGCACAAAGCTTATGTTGATCATGACGTTTCTTAACCTAGCTATACCTCCATTGGAGAATGATCTAAGGTTCGACATCTCTAGTGCTGGACCAATGTGCTCCAAGAGGTTTGGGAAGCTTCCCATGAAGCTTCTGTAGTCCAAGTCGGAGTGCACGTCGGTGACCAGTAAATATCTGATTTAAGACATTTTATCATGTTAAGAGATATTTAGGCGTGTGAAAAAATTATGGATATTCTCGTCTGATTATGTTTATATTCTACGCCTTAGATCACAATTGTATAATGGTCGAGGAAAATACTACATGACAAGGTTACATAGGAGGGCTCCACATTGCCTAGACATGTATAAGATGTAACACTTTGAGAGAGCATGTGAGGAAATAGATCTAGAAAATTGGGTGAAGGACGAACGATGTGGATGGCAGCTATAGGACGAATATCACTTGTTGAGTAAATCTTATAATTATTGTCAGTTATATATATAATCACGTTATAGTGGCAGAGTTTATAATTCTTATCCACTTGTTGCCCTGGATTTTTAAGATAAAGTTAAAAACTTATATACCTATTAGTTAGACATTTACTCTCTGTTTGATTACCACCGTTCAAATTCCTTTATCATTATTTTCTCAGTACATTATCCATCAAATATTAGGAATTATTAATAAAAAGTATATACCTCATCTTTTAATTAAAATATTACACATATGAGTTTGTCATTGAAATTTTTGCTCTCTTCTGTCAATGGGCTCTTCTTATCAATAACCATCCTTGTTAGGGATCCCAAAAGCCAAAACGAGGACTGAAGGTCAGTTAATCATAGCTTCACCTATTTATCCATCTTAATAAAGCTTAGCTCAAATTCCCCTAAATCGATCAACCTTCTTCATTCACATGTCAGCATCCGACATTCATTTATAACTAGCTACGTAGAAAAGCATTACCATTAGAGCTGGCTATTTGGTCCCGGACTGTTTGGTTTTACCCGAAACCGGACCGTATAACCCGGACCGGGACCGGATAGCAAACAATGCAATCTCATATTCGGGCTTAGATTTGAGGTAAAAAACCGGATAAAGACCGGATAAGAGACCCCCAACACCTAAAATCAAGATAAAATTGGGACCGGACCGGGTCAAGACCGGACCGAATCAAGACCGGACTATATCCAATCCAATCTTTGGTCCTTATATTCTCGAAAAGACCGAACTGGGATCGGATCAATTTGATCCAATTTAACTGGACCGTATAGCCACCCCTAATTACCATGCCCTCTACATAGACTAAGATATGATTGGATAGATTAGCTCTTCTATCCCTTATTTATGTTTTCACGCACATTATGTAAAACTAATTATAATGTGTTCTACTTTTATAATCTCTAACGGCGTAGATCAACTCGTTAAAAGAGTTCCAACATAGTATTGATAATAAAGGATTGGGTTGACTTATTCAACAACAAGCGCCCATGGCCTAATGGATAAGGCGCTTGACTTCTAATCAAGCGATTGTGGGTTCGAGTCCCACTAGGCGTGCTAATTTTTTTTATCTGCCAATTTTCCACCATCTACATGGGCCTGCAACAGCCTTGTGGGCTTAAACACAGATCCGTCATGTTGGCATCCCAGGCCTAAGGACTAGGAATCTAGAATGGACATATGAGGCCCAACTATAGCTTGAGTTCTGATAACTCCAACTAGCTCTCTCCTCTTCTCTGCAGTCCATGTCCACACGAAAACAGTTTTACTTGGCCCAAAATACAATTAATTATGCACGATCTAATCCAATTGCCACAACTCGCATGCCAAATTGGGCAGTGTACTGCATATTATTAGTTAGTCTCACCATCTCTCAGCTGTTAATAAATCAGACCCATACAACGATCACATGCTTTAGTTTCTAACTCTCTACTTGTCCACATTTTTTTTTTGGCCTAAAAGGAGTATTATTTTTATGGTCTCGCTCGATTGATCCTCTTCAAGCTAAGCTGGAACAAATTAGTTATTGCTCTCTACCTCGAAAAATTCATGCAGTTCTGAATCTATCACGCCACCTGTGGATGAGTTGCCATTACCATTACTGACCTCATGGTTAAACGCATCCGCTCCTCTGTCCAATTCCCTCACCGTGGCAGAAAAATCCGACGTTGCTTGTCGCGCAAGTTTCACCATCCTCTCCACGTCTTCTTGGTCGTCGCCGTCGAACTCGTCGTCTCCCGCACCGCCGCCGTCCTCTTTCCTCGTCAGCCTCTCGTCCCCACTCGCAATCACATCCTCCCATGCTTCGTTTCCTTCGTCCTCCCAGATCCACCTTCTCGACAGCAGCTTCCTGCTGCTCTTCCCTGAATCCAGGAGACGATGTTGCTGGCTCGGATTCTCGTGGGCGTGCAAGTCGCTCGTTATTTGAACCACCAGCCAGACACAAATTGATAGAAGGAGAGTACCTTGAACAACTTTTATCTTGGAGCGAAACCATTTTGGCCTGGGAGGTTTTCCTTGGCAAGCATTGGCTTGTTCCATTAACTAGCTAGGGTTGGGGAGAGAGAAGTGATGAGGCAGCAAAGTATTGAGAAGCAAAATGAAAGGTTTGTTTGGGAATTGATTGAATCTCTGGGTTTGTATACCTACTTATATATGGATGGATGGATGGAAGAGAGGCTTGAGAAGTGAGGAAAGTTTTTGTGCTTTTTTATTTTTTTGGGTTCCTTGACCGGCTGAAACTTTGTTTGTTTGCCAAGAAAAGAAAATATGGAAGAAAGATTGAAGGGAGAGGAAGGTAAAGCAGCTAGGGCGTGGAGTATTATGGCGGAGAGGAAGGAGTTGAGTTTCCCCGAAGTGCATGCATTTCTCATTTTCTTTAACTTCCTTTCTCATGCTTCTTTCTTTCCTTTATTCTTCCGCCCCTCTCTTGTTTTCCGGCGATTCATTTTCTGCCCTTTTTGAATCCTCAATTTTATAATCCATCTGTCTTAATTGTCCTCCTTAAGGTAATTATTGTTCGCACTGATGGAGATTGGTTGAAGTTAGAAGGGACGGTAATTTTTATTAACATTGAAATATAAATAAAATTATGTATATTTGTACAAATCTATGAATTAGACTATAATCAGTAAGACTTTAACTCCTGCCTCAATTACCACAATTCAAGTCAGCCTCACATGTTCAAATTTCTGGCTTAGTTATTGTTTGTTCGTACTAGTGGTGTAGCTATAATTTCACTTAAGGTGGATCATACAATTTTTTTTTTAAATGATGCACAACACATTTTCATAGTTAGTCAGCTGGTTTACATTTGAAGATCGGAAATTTGACATTGAATTAGAAATCAATAAACTAATTACCAAAATAAATAAATAATAAACTCAAAATAAAACCATAAGAGATAGAGATTTACATAAAATCGTGAGATATCAATGTCAATAATAACCCGTTAGTCCCAATAACTCGAGTTGTTGGGAGAAGGTTACGATTGATCTTATACCACTCTTTAACACGCCCCCTCAAACGAAAGGCAACTCATGGACTTGAAAGTTTGCACTTTGCACAGGCTCACCATACCTAGTGTTTTAATCCACTCTTAATGTTAATATTGAGAGTCGTGGAGATTCGAACACACGATCACTTGGCCAAACCTGCTCTGATACCATGTCAATAACCATTTAGTCCCAATAACTCAAGTTGTTGAGAGAAAGTTATGATTGATCTTATACCACTATCTAACAATCAATACCACGTAGCGAGCTGGATGTGGAGAGTTTTGAATTACGTACTAACCATACCAAATTAATAAATCATGAGTTAGTTAACGAGACCAAATAACGAATTTAAGAAAAGAAGAAAAAACGTCTGACGTATTCCACAGAGAAGAAGCCCGCTCTTTTAACGTGGCGAAATTTGCAAGGGGATTTGTTTGTTAACTTGAATATTGGGGGAAGGAATTAACAAAGCAGCGGATGATAATTATTATGAATGTAAAGATAAGATGGAAGCAAAGCCTAGCTTTCAAAGTCAAGAAAGACAAAACCACTTTGCTTATATCAATTAACTGGTGTCCCGTCACTTTGAACAAGATTGCTAATTAATTAGTCGAAAACTTATCTTTCAGGTCTATTGCTTTTTTTTTTCAAAAGTGCAAGGCATCATTAATTCGACGTGTAGGAAATCTCCCACAAAATTGCACATTAACTTAGTAGCTAATGCCAGGATTTGAATATCTAAAATGGGTCATAAATATTGTCCATGTTTTCCAATGACACACTAAGAGGAACTTCTTCCCCTTTTTCCAAATATTGCCCATTAATTACTTTAATTGCTGGTATAGTAGCATTTGTCCTGAGTCAAGCCCACCACCAATTATAATGTTGTGGCCCATTAAGCTATCATCTGAGATGGGCTGATGGTTTTGTAATTCCTTTGGCCCGATTTCTCAATTGCAGGTATGACTGGGAAGTAGTAATGACAATCAAACATGTAATTAGGAGTACCTGATTGTCCTTCAATCCGGTCAATGTAGGAATTCCCGCATTGATTGGATATAGGGCGAGTATGGGTAAAATCGCAAATTTTTTCATGGGGATAGACAGCATGGTTTTAGACTACACCGCTTATACTCATATCAACCGCCTCATCAATAATATTCTTCGAATATAAAAAATAGAGAGATCAAATTGTAATATATTAATGAAAAGACGGATAATTAAAAGAAGAAAAAAGTTAGAAATGTAATTGAGTGGTCACCCTAACCAAACCTTAATCTCTTTCCCTCCAATTCTCCCATCACACCTTCACTTCTTTCTCCCTTTTAATAAATTATTATAGTATTTATTTATTGCTTACTAAATGTGTTAGATTTGTAGATGAATGATTTGGATAATATTGTATCTTTCCTTAACGATTAATGGATGTTTTAGGATTGAATGCGTTGAATTCATATTAAAATGATTGTAATTGTATCTTTTTTTTTTTTTTGCTTTGATGGAGGCCGAAGCCAAGAAACAAGAAACTAGTGAGAGAGATACAAAGAGTTAAGAGGAGGAGGAAGCCACAACTTGGCGAGTAAAAGAAATTACCCTAATATCATCCTGTAAGATCTGACCTAACTCCTTAGGCGGATTAGTCAGGTCGTGCATGACGTAGGGATAGACGAGACTGTGCTTCGAGAGTCAGTCTGCGGCTCTATTCCCTTCCCGGTATGTATGAACTATACTAGCCAACCAATCATGAGCTAGTCTCATCCGGATAGAAGCAAGAAGAGCTGCATAAGGGTGCACCGGATCATGACGGTTATTGATGAGGAGAATCGCCAATTGAGAGTCCATCTCGATCACAAGATGAGCGCATCCAAACTTCCAGACCATATTAAGGCCATGGTAGAAGGCCCAGAGCTCCACAAGGGCGGCAGAAGCCTCTCTGATTTTTTCCACAAAGCCCGCAACCCACCGGCCATGGGCATCCCGGATCAGCCTGCCCGCACCAGCAAGACATGAGTTCCCTGCCAAAGCGTCATCGATGTTAAGCTTCGTCCATGGCCCGAGCATGCCACTATATGTAGGGGTGGAATTTTGCTTACCAATTTTCGGTTAACTGATCGTTTAAACCGATAACTGGCTGATTATCCATTAACCGGTAACCGATATAACCGAAATTCAGTTGGTTATCGGAGGCTAGACGAGATGGTTTTGGTCTTGGAGAGGGCTCGGTTAAACGATAACTGAGATAACCGAAGCCTATTTCTGACGGTTGTCGATAAGGGGGGAGGGCTGTTCGGTTAACCGATAACCGATCAGTCGGTCACCGGTTATAACCGAACTAAACGAAACTTCACCCCTAACTGTATGCTCGCTGCAAGCTATTCCTTCATGTATCTCGGGCGTTGACTCCCAACAGAGGGGAACACCACACCTTGTACCTAAGATCTGCTTTCTGCTGAATGGAGTGGAGTAAGTACGGAGCGGACATAGCCTTTTGCGCTCCTTGGAAAGCAGTGATACACCTGTTCTTCCATAAAATCCAAATGGTTATGATGAAAAAGCACTCCAAGTCATCCCATTTGCTAGGATTCTGTCATTCAAGAGATTGTCCCGCAACAACTCCTCCTAAGAGCTAGAAAAGAAACCCAGCTGCTCGGTGGTGGGAATGCTCCTTGTCCAAACAAAAATGGCAGGCGGAAAGTCCCTAAGCAGGCGAAGAATTGTTTCCGGACAACCGCTACAGCGAGGGCACGACGACGACAAAGAACACTTCCTAGAAAAACGAAGGCTATTAGTCGCAATTCTGTTCAGTAGCCAGCCAAAACATCACACTCTTTCGGGCACCCGATTGATCCATATCGTCTTCCACAACTTCTCATTTTGATTTCCTAGCTGGGGCATCGCGAGCTGGAACGCCGACTTGGTAGTAAAACGTCCATTTGGAGAGGAGCCAATAAGAGGGTGTCACGATCCGTGGAAAGGCCATCCACTGCAACTGTCGTGATCTTCTGTTGCACATCCACAGGCAAACATGGCGCGAAACGAATTACATCCTAGTTGCCGTTGTCATCTAAATAACTGGCAACAGAGTCCATCTCCATCTCCTCAGGAACAAGCTGGGTGGCCACCTCCCTCAAAGGAACCTGCAAAACCCACACATCGCACCAAAATTTAGTGTTCCTACCATTCTGAATGTTCCACGCGCAAACTTGTTTAAGAAGGTGAGAAGCTTTTGTAAAACTTCTCCAGGAAAAAGAGCTTCTCTGAATAGGACAAAAAAAGGTGAGGACATCTCTCTGTTTCCTGTATTTAGCACTGAAAATCTGCGTCCATAATGCCTCCTTCTCTTGGAGAATACACCAGCCTCCTTTCGCCAAAAGAGAGAGGTTAGCCTGTCTGAGGGGCCGCAGACCTCCTCCCCCCTGAAGTCTAGATTCTGTCATCTTTTCCCATGCAACCAAATGCATCTTCCCTTGATCGTCCTCTTTGCCCCAGATAAAATCCCTGTTAATCTTATCTATAGAATTATAGACATTTTTAGGGATTAGCTCATATTGCATTGAATAAGTGGAAATATCAAGAGAGACAGAACGAGTAACCGTAAGTCTCGCAGCTAGAGAGAGTCTCATGGCTTTTCATGGGGCTAGCTTCTTCTGGATCTTCATAATCAAGGATTGGTATAGACTCTTGGTGACTCTCTCATGGATTGCTTGGATGCCCAGATACCGCCCTAGATTAGTAACCAGCAGGATAGCAACCCTGTCACTAAGGCGTTATGCTCTGGCTTCTCTGATGTTCGGAGACACGTACAAAACTGATTTGGCAAAGCTGACTCGTTGACCAGAGCTGACACATAACTCATCCACGCATTTCCTAATGGTCCTAATTTGAGCCTCTTCCGCCTCTGCAAAGAGAACCAAGTCATCTGCAAAAAAAAAAAAAAAGATGAGTTAAGCAGGGCCTCCCGGCGATAAGCGAATGAGATTCCATTGCTTATCCCGGACAGCCTGATCAATTCTATGAGATAAACGTTCCATGCAGAGCATAAAGAGGTAGGGAGATAAGGGGTATCTCTGACAAACACCCCGTGTGGGAGTGATGACCGGCGTGAGTTCCCCATTCCAAAGAATCTGCATCTTTTTCTGCTCAACACAATACATAATCCCCCGGGTCTACGAACTAGGGAGCCCAACTTCGATCAAGGTATCTCTTAGAAAGTCCCATCGCAACCTGTCATACACCTTCTCAAGATCCACCTTAAAAACCATGCCTCATTTCTTTCCCCGCTTCTTGCGCAAAGAGTGAAGAACTTCTTGCACA